CTGCCTGGGGCTGCCTGGCACTGCCTGGGCACTGCCTGGGGCTGCCTGCACAGTGCAGGGCACTGCTTTGGGCTGGTTTTCACTGCTTTGGGCTGGGCGGGCACTGCTTGGTACCACTCTGAACTGGTGTGGACTGCCTGGGCACTGGTTTGGACTGCCTGGACTCTGGTTTGGGCTGGTTGGGCACTGGTTTGGGCTGGTTGGGCACTGGTTGGTACCACTTTGCACTGGTGTGGACTGCCTGGGCACTGGTTTGGGCTGCTTGGACTCTGGTTTGGGCTGGTTGGGCACTGGTTGGGGCTGCCTGGGCACTGCTTGGGGCTGGTTGGGCACTGGTGTGTGCTGCCCGGGCACTGGTTGTTACTGGTTTGCACTGCTTTGCACTCGTTTTTTACCGGTTTGTACCGGTTTGGGCAGTGCTTTGTACTGGTTGGGGCTGGTTGAGCACTGGTTGGGGCACTGGTTTGGACCACTTTGCACTGGTTTGGACTGGTTTGGACTGGTTTGCACGACCCACACCCCCGGTCCACCCCTGCTCCCCCTCCCCTCTGCATTCCCAGGACTCCCCAGCCCCTGTGTCCCCCCTGACGGCTCCGGGGGTCTGTGAGCCTGGCACTCCCAGCAATCCCAAATTCCCACCTGATCCCGAATTCCCACCTGATCCCAAATTCCCACCTTGATCCCAAATTCCCACTGATCCCAAATTCCCTCCCTGGTCCCACATTCCCATCTAATCCCAAATCCCCCCCCAATCCCACATTCCCGCTGATCCCACATTCCCACCCAATCCCACATTCCCACTGCTCCCACATTCCCGCTGCTCCCACATTCCCGCTGATCCCCTCTCCCCCGCAGCAATCCGGCTCCTCGGTGCCGTGCCAGCGCTCGTCCTCCTCCGCCATCTACATGAACCTCGCGTCCCACATGCAGCCGGGCTCGGTGGCCCGCGTGTCGTCCCCTCTCCCCAGCCCCAGCGCCCTCTCCGACGCCGCCAACTCGCAGGCGGCGGCCAAGCTGGCGCTGCGCAAGCAGCTGGAGAAGACGCTCCTGGAGATCCCGCCGCCCAAGCCGCCGGCGCCGCTCCTGCACTTCCTGCCCAGCGCCGCCAACAGCGAGTTCATCTACATGGTGGGGCTGGAGGAGGTGGTGCAGAGCGTCATCGACAGCCAAGGTCACTGCCGGCGTCGGCCCCAGGGGAGAGGGAGCTGGGGAGGGATTGCCGGGGCTGCGACCGCGATTTGGGGCGTTCCGGGGTGAAACGGTGCCATGCTGATCATGCCATCGATGGGATGGGATGGATGGGATCAATGGGATGGGATGGGATCCATGGGATGGGATCCATGGGATGGGATGGGATGGGATGGGATTGGATCCATGGGATGGGATGGATGGGATGGGATGGGAGGGGATGGGGTGGGCTGGGATGGGATGGGATGGGATGGGAGGGGATGGGATGGGATGGGATGGGATGGGATGGGATGGGATGAGCGGCATGGGACAGCTCAGGCCACAGCCACTGGATTTTGGGGCACAATTTGGGAATTCTCACCCCCTCGATGGTGGGGTTTAGGGCTTTGGGGCCGGTTGGAAGGGTTTTAGAAGGTGTTGGTGGTGGGGGTTTGGGGGGAAGGTGTGAAGTTTTGGGGTGGGTTTGAAGGTTTTTCATGGGGTTGTGGGATTTCAGACTGGATTTGAGGGACTTTAGACCAAATTCTCAGGATTTTGGTCGATTCGTGGGATTTTAGACCAAATTCTCAGGATTTCATACCAAATTCTCAGGATTTTGGCCGATTCTCAGGATTTCATACCAAATTCTCAGGATTTTGGCCGATTCTCAGAATTTCATACCAAATTCTCAGGATTTTTGCCAGTTTGCAGGATTTTAGACCACATTCTCAGGATTTTAGACCAAATTCTCAGGATTTTAGACCACATTCTCAGGATTTTAGACCAAATTCTCAGGATTTTGGTTGATTCTCAGGATTTTAGACCAAATTCTCAGGATTTTTGCCGATTTGCTGGATTTTAGACCAAATTCTCAGGATTTTGGTCAATTCTCAGGATTTTAGACCAAATTGTCAGGACATTTGCCAATTTGCAGGATTTTAGACCAAATTCTCAGGATTTCAAACCAAATTCTCAGGATTTGGCCGATTCCCATGACCCACCCAAACCCCTCAGTCCTTGCCGCCAGTTTTCGCGGTTCCCGCGGCCCTGCGGCGGCGCGGCGCGGGGCGCGGTGCTGAGGCAGGCCGTGTTGCAGGGAAGAGCGCGCCGGCCGTGCCGCGCGTGGAGCCCTTCGTGTGCGCGCAGTGCCGCACGGACTTCACGCCGCACTGGAAGCAGGAGAAGGGCGGGCGGATCCTGTGCGAGCAGTGCCAGACCTCCAACCAGAAGAAGGCGCTCAAGGCCGAGCACACGAACCGCCTCAAGAACGCCTTCGTCAAGGCCCTGCAGCAGGAGCAGGTTGGGATCCCTGGGATGGCCCTTCCCGTGGGGTCAGGCCGTCCCAAAGCACCCATCCCATTGATCCCATTGATTCCATCGATCCCATCCCATTGTTCCCATTGATCCC